TTTATTAAATGTGTTTTCTAGCTCAAAACGACAATCGAACGTGTTAAATCGCCTCTTAAAAAATAATGAGATTCCAGAGCCCTGACATTTAGATTAGCACAGTGGAAAAGCAAACTAGGGTATATCTTGATGTTGAGAGCTATTGCAAATTTCATGATCATCGCAGTTATGTTTAATGTCAGATGTACAACAGCTGTGCCTAGAATTTGTTTTTGTCAATCACATACATGTATCTCTTGATATTAGGATTTATTTTCTTCTGTCTCATTTTTCGTTTTAAGGTGAGGAACATGACTAATAAATTAACTGTAACTGTACAACAGTTACCCACTTACAAAATAAAGAGAATAACCTAATGGGTGCACTTCATTAATCTTTTTTATCTAATGTTTTATTTTTTTATTAGACGTTCAGGTAGACATTCTTCATTGCGATGCTTTGACCTCAAATGCACTTTGTTAGATTTAATTCTGCTCCCACATCTTTTCAAGTATCTTTTTTTATCTACTTTTCAAGGTCAGAAATCACATATTTAAATATTGTACAAGTGCTTTTCATCTTAGGGAGTTTTGCTGAGAACTGCAAATGAGGTCATTTGAACTATGGTAGAAACCTAATTTATGCAGTGTAATTATTTTCAAGGGATAACAATATAGAACAGTCTTCTCTCAAGACTACATTAATCCAGTCCACTGCTGTAAATGATAATGGGCTCTAGTTTCGCACTTCATTACAGTTCGAGTACAAACTACACTTACAGGACCTCAGGACCAGAAATATGAGAAACATAGATGTAAGAAATTAAAGGCATTTTGTCCTAGTATAGTACAATTTCAGTTGCTTAGCATTTTCAAGTTGCTCTGGTCTAATTGAAATGTAAAGTCTGGGATCAGATCATGAAAAAGGATTTTTTTAATATAATTCTTCAAATTAGGCATATTTTAAATACTTTAGATCCCTTAGACATCTTATGAAAATGCACTGCACAGCTACAGTACCAATGCACAGCTTTTATTCTTTTTATATTTTACATTTTTATACTATAATTTTTATACTAAATTCTTAACTGTCATTACTAAATCACTTTATTTCAAAATGAGAAATTAGGGAAAAGGCAGTATAATGAAAAGCAGATGCAAATTCTATCAATCTATAATCATTATAGTTTCTGAAGAAGATCACTTTATTAGCCATACACAATTTCTTGTATTAGGAACTTGTTTTTTCACATACCCCAACTTGCTCTCCATGAGACATAAAGACAGGGAGAGAAACTGGGGGTCAGAGCGCAGGGACAGCCATTTATACAGCACCCCTGGAGCAGTTGGGGTTATTGGCCTTGCTCAGGGGCCCAACGTAGTAGGATTCCTCTGCCGTGGGATTCAAACGGGCAACCTTCCAGCCACAGAGCCACTGTCCCGTGGAAAGACAAAATCATTTTTAAAATTTAAAAAGAGTGTTAGAAACATTTAGTTTGTTCCAAGTACAGCGTACTGTGAGATGAATCCTGTATTTAGGCAGACTTGTGCTTTTGATAAATTTAGCAATAACCCACCAAAAAAGTTTGGGCACCTACAGCATGTAGCAGTGGAATAAATTAGTCGAATGCTGTGGCCTGGGTTTAATCAATCATTTGTTACACTAATGGGGCTTTAGAAATCCAGTGCTCGATGGCAGGTTTTTGTTTGCCAGGGGCTGTACTGTGTTTGTAATTTACAACTGGCAGCCTGGTTGACATTTTGATTTAATCCAGACCTACATTACTGTAGAATTTTAAATTTGCTTTTTCGTATGCATAAAATAAGAAAAGAACTCAATTTCATGATGGATTTGGGGTTCTGGTGTAGAATCAGTCATTGCCACATGAGCTGTGCGCTGTAATCCCTGGACACATTTCAGAACTGAAGCTAGCTGCAATGTGTGCCTGTGCACTATAAAGCTTTTTAGAAAACTACACATCACGGTTGATCAAATTAGTGCTTTGCCTTTTCTTGCTACATTATGCTTTTTTATCGCTTTTAAGTGAGAATGCTCCAAACTTTTTTACAAGAGCAAATACTATTTTTGTAATCTCTTGTGATTCCAACTCATCAGTGTAAGAAGAAATAGTTAAGAAAGGTTACCCACAGGAGAAGGCCCTTTTTCCTTCCTTCTTTGCTCAATAACTACGGTGCCTGCCATATTTTCTTGGTGGCCTCGGCCATGTGACGTAGTTCAGTTCACATTTCCCATCCAGCTACCAAAAGAGCCAGTGCCCTATTGATCCGAAGACCAGGCTTTTCCTGAGAGAAACAAAGGTACCGGCTTCGAGAACATGCTTGAGCATCTTGACCCCCACAGCCCTTCTGTGACACTTCAGTTAGTGATTAGAGGTGCCGTCATCTCAAAGCAAAGATAAAAGGGCATGTCTAATAGTCAAACAGGGCTAATTGCAAGTTCAGCACACCTAATTATAAAATCTTATAAGGGCACAAGAGCCTGCAAGGTCTGTAAGAATGTGTAAAAATCAGAGGGAAAGGTTAGAAGGCATGGTGTTATTTTGCCAGGAAACACCAGACCTTTCCTTTTTTGG